TTTTTTTCAGAACTGGGGATGAACTCAGACACTTTTGCTTGCCAGGGAAGCACTTATTCTATTCAGCCATCTCCCTGGCCCTCACAGCAACTGATTTAATTTTGAAGGTAGAACATCTTAGGTCTTACAAAGACCACAGTTGCATAATTTGCACAGACTTTGCCAAGGCTAAAATCCAAGGTTACTCTTCTTTTCCTAAATCGCTACACTCCTATGAGTGATTTTAGTGCCAGGGACTCCTATAGAAATGAAAGGAACTTCTTCCGACGGCAGCGGCCTCATTCTCACCAGTTAGTTCTGTCTGTCTTTGCTCAGTGAGTCAGTTCAGATTACAGACAGGGCTTGAGACATGGGAAAGGTGGGTGTGGGCCCCCTCCGAGCTTGCCAGGGATGGTTTGCAACATAACGTGCTGCCTTTTGCAGAAAATGGTCATTGCTGTATCTCTCTGCCGGGTGCTTGCTTCCAGTGACTCCTCTAGCAGCCTCCTCTGCTTTAGTCTGGCCATCTTTCCACTTTTGACTACAAAGGTATCCACACAAAGGCTACTGTTCTGAGGTTGTGTCACTTATTAAAGTCAAGAGACTACACTGTTGATCAGTTTTGGCACAGGGCCCTACATAGGGTTTAGCCCATGCCAAGTGCTTTGCAGATACCATAAATAAAACAAAACCAATGAGCACAAACCTGTATTGTACTAAGCAAATGAATGCTGTGCTGCTTTGACCAGAGGGAAGAGAGGTCTCTTTTCACCTGTGACACTCAGTGCATGCTGGGACACCTCTGGCCATGAGTGCTGACAAGTAGGAGACATGGACACAATTGTGAGTCCTCTGGTCTTTTCTCTCATCACATTTTGATTTTAGTAGTTGCAAATTTAGGGTTTTTTTTTGTTTTGTTTTTTGTTTTGATATGAGGTCTCGGTACACCTTTCAGATTCCTAGTGATCCTCGCAAGTGCCCAGTTTCAGTGGCTGGCACGGCTTCTGGGGCAGCATGGCGTGCGGTACCGGGGATCGAACCTGGGACCTTGCGTTTGCCAGGCAGGTGCTTATGCCACTGAGCTATCTCCCCAGCCAAGGAGCGGTTTTGTTGTTTGTTGTTAAATCTTTATATTCACTGAGATCTCTTTCAGCTTTGTCACCTGTTATTCTGTATAGAAGAATTTCTGTCTTCAATAAAAAAAAATCAAAGAAATTGGAGATAAGCATGGGTAAAATTCATAAACTTGCGACATCAAAGACCTTAAATCTTAATTTTTTGTGGGGCTAGGTTGTTGTGCAGGATAATTATGGCTCAGAGGAGTAGACGGAGGCTTGCACATCTTGTAAGAAAAGCTACAACTACATTCCCATGGAAACAGGGTCATTTGCTGTCACTGTTAGACTCAAGAGGAAAACCTGACTTTACTCAGGGATATCTCATCAGGAGGTGAGCACCTCCCTTTCACCTCATGTGTCATTCCAAAGCGAGCTTCATTCCTTCCCACTGAATCTGGAGAAGGTGTGTGGTGGGCACATGGTCCTCACTGCGGAATTCCCAGTGTGGTAGGAAGTGTACATGAAAATAGAGCTAACTGTGCCGAGAAAGCAACAAGGCCACATGTGGCAGTGCTCCCTGGCACAACTCTACAGGGACACAAAGGAACTATGTGACATCAAAGAAATGAAAATTCTTAAATGAAGACAACTGAGCCAGCTGTGGAATCGGGGAACAGGATTTTTCTTGAACTTCTAGCATAGTAAGATAGTTTATACTAAAGTGAATGATAACTTAGGCAGACTTAATGTTTCAAGACTATGTCTTTTCTAAAATGATATTTTAAATCTTTTAGGGATAAAATTTAGTCTTAAATACACATGTGTGTGCCTCTCTCTCGTCTTTCTGGCTTCCATGTGTTATGGCCAAAGCTTAAAAGAACATAGTAGTGATGCTGAACAGTGATGCAGCGAGAACATCACTCCATGGTTGTGAGCAGAGTAGGCCTCCGATTGAGAGACTGTAGTGAGACGCAGTTGGGTGAAGTTTGCTGTCTTGGAAATGGTGGTACTAGGGAAATGGAGTTTTCCTTAACTCTAAAAAAGAAAACTCTGATTATTTGTTAGTCATAAGCCTAAAGAAGATTAGAGAAGAGAAAGTAGAAGCCAAAATCAGTTATCGTTAACTTTATCCTTATTCATAGCTTTTACCTCAACGCTACACACACGCATACACATGCACACACGCACGCACGCACATGCACACACGCATGCACACACACATGCACACACACACACACAAACACCGGGGAGCAGGCATTGATTGCAATATGAAAGTTTTAGGACAATAAAGCAAGTGGTTAAGAAGCATTATCAGAACACTCGAGAAACCTCTGGAATGAAAATTTTGATTTCTGTCTTATGGAAACTTTAATAATAGTACAAAGGATCATGTCTGAGATGCTTCAATTGGACAGGGAAAGAGCTGTACCAATTTTATCATATTTCTGTAACATTCCAGAATTCACTAGGATGACTTCAACTTTGTACTTTAGGAAAATTTAAATGTATGCCTGGGGTATTTTGATCTTTAGGCTTGGTAGGTCAAGTATGTTATTATAATATATCACTTAGCCTTTCATGAGAGCATTGCAGCAATGAATTTTAAATATCACAGCGATGCCTTGCTCCAGAATAGACATACCCTTAGGTTTACAGGGAGTAATCTATTACTGGAGTTTGAGTCCAGTTTTTGCTGTAGCTCCCGTCTATCACTATATCGTGTTGTCTTCTTGACATGAGCAAGATGAACAAGATTGCTTCCCTTAACAGGTTCTCCATATAGCTTGGAAGGCAGGTATATAAGCAAATGATCATTGCAGAAAATTTAAGAGAGAACTAAGGAAGGCGATGTTAACTCTGGGGCCACGCATGAAAGGTATCGGCTAAGAGAGAGGACCAGTCGGCATGTTTCAGTGAGAGAAAAACAGGTAGAATTTCCTCTGTGTGGTAACGTGTGTTCAGCTATCCATAAAATTATAAATTAAATTTGATTTCTCACTTTTCCTGGCTCTTGTTGATATTACCAGTGTTCCATGCTCCTCGAAAGTTTTTCTTCCACCTGCTTTTGTGCATATTCTGTATAGCAATCAACTTGCATACCTACTTTTATTTCTACATCTAGACTTGCTTGACTAAAAGGGCCATGACTTACTTAATGGCCCTTGTGCACATGGTACAGCAAATCATAAAAGAAGACATTAACAAATATACACCGAACCCACAAATTATTAAAAATACAAGTATATATCTTCTGCAAATATTGGCGGAAATAATTTGATACATTTCTGAGTTGTATTTAATATATATATTAAATACTGGGGATTGAACTCTGAACTTTGTGCTTACCAGGCAAGTGCTTCTTCTACTGAGCTATCTCCCTAGCCCCAAAATATTTTCTATAATAATGGAATATAACACCAAGTGAATTGTAACTTTATACATAAATGTTTACATTTTGTTTATATTCAAACTCCATTCACTTCACCTTGAATAATGTTCCTGTTCATTTATCCATTCTTCAGTTCTTTAAACCTGTATCTATTGAGCCTAGAATGTGTCTTATGTGATGGGCATCCAAAGGCATCTAAATATTCACATCCACACCTTACTCTTGGGATAAAAGATCTAGTAGGCAAGCCATACAGTAATCCCATACAAAGTATATGATTTCAAATGATGATTAATGTTATACAGGGAAGATGCATGGTATAGTAAAGATAAAAACATTTAGGACTTTGTCTAGGTTTGGACTAAAACTCCATTTCAATTGTGTGATAAATGAGTAAGGTTTAGTGTCCACAGAGCTGACTTGGGGTGGCAGTGGGAAGTGGATAGAGGTGGTTAGGTGCAGAAAAATGCCATGCACACAGTCCTTTGGGGGATGAGGAGGGGTATGTTCAGAGAAATGATCAGAGTGGCAGCTGTGGGTTTGCACCAAGGGCAGAGTATTCACAAAGGGGCAGAGTGGGGTGACAGGAGGGAGACTTCACAAGTGTTTGTCAGATTTGTAGAAAATGGTATGAATTTTGGTCTTCTCTTGAAAGCCATGAGAAGCCACTGGGAGAAAGAGCAAATGGGTAACACGTTAAAGTTTACTTGAAGGGCCGGGGAGATGGCTTAGTAGAATAAGTGCTTGCTTGGCAAGCGCAAGGTCCCGGGTTCAATCCCTGGTGAAAAAAAAAAAGTTTGAGCTCTATTGAGGAGTCGAGGATGGGAACAAATATAGTAGAAGAAAATTGATGGCAGCCCTCAGAGGAAGCTGTCATAGTAATCTAAGTATCAGATTTAGCTTTTTGTCAAAGTTGAAGAGGTACTCCTTTTTAGGGAAAATGAAGAAGATATATTAGAACATAACTACTTGCCTAATCCCTTTAGAATTTTCTTTTCCAATCTTTGCTCTTTATTGCTGGCAGGCTCTTTGACTACAGATGGCTCTCCAGAAGCAGCGGGTTCTCTTTCGGCCTCTTCAGGAGTTTCTTCCTGGTCTCTGTCCTCATGGTCAGGGGCTTCCATACTCCCAGCTTGCTCCTGTGCCTGGGGTGGGCCCTCCTGTCCTGTGGTACTGGCAGCAGACCCATACATGCTGATGATGTCTTCTAGTTGTCGATTCAGCTCTTCAGAGATATCACGGGCTCCCTTTTCAGAGCGGCCACTTGCCTCGTGCTCTGGGGTTTGGAGTGGTGTTGAGGAGTCCTGACTGTCCTGCTTCCCCGGGCCATTCTGCCTGGGTGATGCTGAACTATCCCCTGAAGGCGGTGTTTGTCCTGCGGGCAGCTGTTCGGGATGATCAGTCTCCATACTTAGTGTCTAGGAGGAAGCAAAGTGAGGAGTTTCTAAGGTGGGCCAGTAAGATATTAATGGTGCGAATGTCTACCAAATAGGTACCAGGAAATTAGGGGTTCTAACACTGAATGTACTTTTGCAGATCATTGATGTTGTCATTAGTAAGGTAGGAACAATGGGAAGTCATTTTTCAAATCAAGTCACATTATTAGCATACTTTTGGTTTGATACTCAGTTTTTTAGTAGTATCCCATACAATTGCCATTGATTTGTGAAATTGTCAAATTAGCAGTTAATTTGACATTAATTTGTGCTGTTATATTAGGGGAATCATATTTATCATTTAGCTTAGACAAGCCAGTTTATATTATGATACAGTTTGTATAAATCTGGGTAGAATCACAATCATTAGAGGTACACAGATAGGTACATTTTCTTTCAAAGTTAAAACGTTTACTACAAGCTATGGCACACACTAAAATCACTCATAAGAAGTTCTATTTTGATCCATCATGCAAGATTTGACTAGTATATGTTGATGTAAGTGAATTATTATGCTACTTATTGATTTTCTAGTTTTCCTTTTTCTCAGATTGGCAATTGTAAATATCAACCAGCAGAACACTTTTTCTGGGGTTCCTACTGGTACCAGTTTTGGAAGAAGACAAGGAATGAGAAGGTTTAAATCAACCAACTAATGTGGAAATGCAGTGATTCTTATAGTTGTAATTCCTTAAATTTCTATAATATTCTTTTGTTCCACTCTAAAAACCAATCTTATTTTAGAAGAAAATGGATTGCAGCTCTTTCTTCTTAGCTTGTTCTCAGAGAATATAGTAATTTTTAAGAAAAGCAGCATATAAAAATCAGTAAGATGAAACAGGGAAGCAGTTCAGATATACTGGGCTCTCCAGACAAGCCGAGTCAAAGATTCCAGGTTTCTGGCTATTCTCATTTCTAGGGTTGAAAGAGATTTGGCACAGGCCTTTAATTGACAGTTCATTTTATTTGTGGATAACTTTTAGTTGTGGTTTTGCTAATTAACAACATAAAAATGCGTCAAGATCACAATTCACAAGTTTTGCTCTTGTGTTGGCATAAAAGTGCAAACAAAAACATTCTCTTCTCCCAACTGTATACCTTCCTCCCTCCTTCTCATGGTGGTGGACATCAGAGACTTGGGTGTTAACAACAGTAGAAAATACAACACTCAGCTATTATATTCAGATATAACATTTAGATATTGCCAACTCCCAGGACTCTCACCAAGAACTCCTTCAGAGGGAAATAAGTTCACCAAATTTATCAAATTTTAATTTAGTTTAATTTTAGTTTAGTTTAGGTTTTGGTACTGGGGATCAAACTCAGGACCTTGTGCTTGCCAGGAAGACACTTATTCTGCTGAGCTATATTCCTAGCCCAAGTTCACCAATTTTAATTCAGCAATTTAACTATAAAGTAATTCTGTATGCAGCGTTGTTGTGTTCATCCCTGCAGGTTCCCACCCTGACCTCTGTGGCTAGGCACACTCATCTATATATAACTTTTGCCCCCTCTAAACTCAGAGAAAGGCACATGGCATCTGCTGTCCAGCCAGGAGTTATTTTAAGCTCCTCTAAAATGAGTCATGGCATCTAGCACTTCATCCTTGAAAACCAAGAGAATAATTTTTAAATTTAATTGAAACATTAAACATCTACTGGTTTAAATCCATAAGTGCAATTTTTTAAACAGTAGGGGAGATTATTTTAAGATGAAATATATCTATGGAAACCAAACTTCAAAGCAGTTAGTTTAAAATTGCCTTTCCATAGGAATTTCACTGTGGTTAGGCTACACGCGAGTGTTTTATTTCTATTTGATTGATTCATTCATCATATGCCACAGTTGGTAATTCTTTTTTATATTTGGTTCCATGGATAGTCTTTAAACTCATGTTCCACATTTATTTGAAAACAGCAGAACTGAACTATTATAAGCCGCGGAAAGGTCAATTCTTACAAGAGGCCTCAGACAAATTAACAAGAGTGAAAAAGTCGAAAGAACTTTGTTACATTTATATTACCCATTTACAGCAATGTATCTTACAGCAAAGAAATTATTTCTAAATTTCCTCATACATAAACTTGATGGGCCTTTCCCCTGTCCTCTGAGACAGAATTTTTCCCTTGTACTGGCAGTCCCCCACACAAGAGCCCTCCCTGAACAACACATTTTAATTATAAATACAACAATGGAAAGTTCAACAGGTCACTGGCAAACTCAAAGTTGCAAGCTTTGAACCCC